TTCTTCGTGCCGCCAATCTGGTCTTTGACATTTTCTTGGAGGTGGAAGGGGTCACATTTGTCCGGAGTGGATTTGCTCACAGAGAAAAGCAACAGCTCAAAGGGGGCGACCGATCTGTTTCTGCAGATCTGTTCATTTTGCCCGTCTGCTCATCAGACCAGGCACCGGCTTTATAATCAGGTCTTTTTTGTTGTTCAGTGTTGGTTTTGGTTCCTTCAAGTGTAGTTGTGTTTGTTCATGGGAAATGCTCATATGAATGACCTCAGTGTGAAATGTGACCTAAGCTGTCGTTTTAAAAACTGGTGGAAGTTAGTTAACCCTTGTCGTCAACTTCTTGAGCATAGTGGTGAAGTGTCAAAAAATTATTCACCATTTTTGAAAAGCTAAGGAATGTCAGTTTTTAATACAGTAGGATTTACTCATGGTTGCGGTCTTTTCACATGTATAGACTATTAAATGCTGAAAGTACTGCTAGAATTTCTTTTTAAATTATCTTAATTTTTTCCCATTGTAGAGAGGAGGTTTGGCCAGTTATGCTGAATTTTCACTATTGGAACCTAACAAGCGGTATACCCTGTACTACCCTTAACCATCACCAAGCAAAGCCTCTGGGGTTGAACCGGACCATCCTGCTTTGTTTATTCACTGTATTTCCTCTCTGTCAGTCTCAGTTTAGAGGAGGGAGGTGCTGCTCCTCTCTCACACACGCTGTCAGCTGTGTGTTTACATACAGTGCTTGTAATGCTAATCATTAGCTTGAGGTGTGAAGACGTGGACATTCAATCAATCACTGGTGACTGCTCTGCGCACATGCAACCTCTTGCCCCTTGCATTCCTGGTATTTGATTTTAGCACTACCTCCTGATGGATGCTGACATTTAGCTCCTGGAGCGCACCTCCAAAGCAGGCCGAATGTAGTGGAAACAAATGCTGAATCAGTGATGAGTGCTACTCAAAGTGACACGTTTCGGTAGGTTCCTATAATGGAAGAACCCCTTTAGACAACAACTGATTAATTGTTGAAGCCATTTTTCATGCAATCATTGAATGGTTTGGTTTCCGCTTCTCAAATGTTAGGCTTTCCTGCTCCGACGCCGCATCACAGCAGCGGTGTTGGTCGGACAAAATGACATGTCAAGGCTTCACTAGCTGCGATTGGCATTTGTCACTAATGGTCAAGAAGCAAAGCAGTCTATATAGCACCCTTCTAAACATCTGTTACAAAGTGCTTCACAAAGAAAATCAATAATGATAAAACATGTTAGATAAAATAAAGTAGGACATGACTAAAATGTGTTCTCTTCTCTCTCTCCCCCTCAGGATTGTTGAAATCTACAGTCGTCGACTACAAGGTACCACACAGATTCTTGTTTTAACTTGCTGTTGGTTCAGAGTTCATTTGAGATGTTTGTTCTAACCTGCTTGTCCATCTGCAGTTCAGGAGAGGTTGACCAAACAAATCGCTGTGGCAATCACTGAGGCCCTGCAGCCCACTGGGGTCGGTGTCGTCATCGAGGCAACGTGCGTATGTCCACAGTAGACAGACTGAATCACTGCATCTGTTTTTTATACACACTTCAGTGCTTCTTTATACCTTACCTTTCATTTTTGTTTTCATTTTCTCATTTCCTTTTCCATTGGTGGGACTTCTTCCATCTGATTTCAGTTCCTTTCCTTCACCTCCTTTCCTTTCAGTTCTGTCTTCCTACCCTCTCCTCACCACATTTTCTTCAACTTGCACACCCATCACTTTGTTTCTCTTGATTTACTTTTTCTGTTAAACTTTCTTCTTCCTTCTTGGTTTTATTCTTTCATTTACTTTCCTTTTCATTCTTTTGTCTTTACCTCCATTACTTTGGTTTAATTTCCATCTGTTGCATTTCCTCCTTTAATTCACCTCCTTGTTCTTTCTCTGTTTCCTTAAATCCTTTATCATTTTTTTCCACTTCTTTCTCGTCCTCTCTGCAGCCACATGTGTATGGTGATGAGAGGCGTTCAGAAGATGAACAGTAAAACCGTCACGAGCACCATGTTGGGAGTTTTCAGGGAAGATCCAAAAACCCGTGATGAGTTTCTCACACTGATCAGGAGCTGAGGAGGATGAGGATCCTCCTCTTCCTGCTCCTCCTGCTGCCTGGGGCTACCTCCACCCACACGGACCAGCTGTCGTGCTAAATGTGTGTGTGTGTGTGCGTGCGTGAATGGGTGTGTGCGTGTGCATGTGTTTCTCTCACCAAAGGCAGTGAAAGTGTGTTTAACTGTTAGGCGTTTTCAGTCATTTTAATCTTTGATAAGGTGAAGCGTTACCTCGTCGTTTTCCACACAGCTGATGTTTGTCAGAGGCTGTGGACAAATTTTGGTTTTTTTTTTTTTTGGGACTGACTTTTCCTCCTTTTGTGTGCGCAGGATGTATGTGCAAATCAATTAAATAGGTTATTGGTCACTGACCAATACAAAGTAAAAAGAGAGCCTGGAGAAGGAATCCACAGGGGGAAAAACTGGGCAGGGTCGCTGTCTTTTTTTTTTTTTTTTTTTTTTTTTTTTTTTTTTTAAAGAATACACCCATGACCAAATACTTTAACTTGAAGCTTTCTGAGGAAAAACGCCTCCTTATAATTCTAAACTATGTCATAATTACAGCCCTCTGACAGACTGGTGACCTGTCCAGTGTGTACCCTGCCTGCCACCCAAGGATAGCTGGGATAGGCTCCAGCCCCCCGCGACCCTATTCAGGAATATGCGTTATAGCTAATGGATGGAAGTCATAACTACAGCCTCACCTGGAACACTGAACAGGCACCTGTTCCCTCATCAGCCTCCTATGCTCCTCTTGCCTGATGCTGTTTTCTACATAAAAAATAATCAGTGGTGGAAAATAACTAAGAACACTCACTCAAGTACTGTACTTCAAAAATAAGGAAAAGCATGCCAGTGGCTCTTTAACCTTTTCACTGTTTGGTTGGCTGTCAGTTAATTTAAAACTATAACTGATTAACTTTGTATTATCAAAACAATTTAAATTGCATGGATAATTTTTAGCAGAATTACTGGGGAAAACATGAGCTAAATGCAGACAAATGAGGGCTGCATCTGAAGATGACACCACTGTCCTAATAGTTACATTTAACTTTTCAGCATCTTATTTTAATGATTATAGTCCTTGCGGCTGTAAGTACCCACTCACCTCTCAATTAAATCCAGAACCCGACATCACGGTGACGTTACGAAGGAACTGGCAGGACACTGTGCTGCAGACTCACCGCCATCTGAAAGTCAACTGAAAGCATTCATTTCCATGAGAGGCAAACGAAATATGTGTGTGCTTGTGTGTGTTCTTCATAGTTTTCATCTGAGCAGATGAACAGTGTGAAGATCAGTATGTGTGTTGTTTAGTGTGATTACCCATGTAGGCATGATTTTATATTTCAGTCCATCATAATGTCCCCAGACAGATTTTGGGAGGTTTTAAAACTAGAGCAATGTGGTGACTGATGTTTGTGCGTGTGTGTGCATGTTGAAGGGAAGATGAGTGCTAATGGTTTTGATATTGTCTCCATGGCCTTGTTGAGAAGGACGGCCTGTTCTTTGGCCTCTTCACCATCATTGTCACCTTATGTACTGTGTTAATTTCAAAGAACTGTTAATCAAAAGACAAATCTATGTGACATCAGTAACCGTGTGTTTCTTCGCAGCACACACACAACTGACATGTATGTTCACTTTACAAAAAAGATTAAACTTTCATTGGTCTAAAACTCCCTTCTTGCAGTGTCAGTGAATGGGATAAATAGGAAAACCTGGTATTGTGACCTGGGCGGCTCTAAGATATTTAGGCCTACCCCGCACTGCTACCCTCATAGAGGGAGCTACTTCGTAAGAATGTATTATACTGTCCATGTCCAGCTGTTGGGTTCTACTTCCCCCTGTTCTTTGTTCTACTGTATCTACCTGTACTTTTTTTTATTAGTACCTTAACCTTACAACACAATTACACTGTGAAACGTGGGTGTCAACTGAATGATATTCATTTTGTACCTGCTGGATGCAACTCTGGCTGGATTAAGGACATGTAAAAAACCTTAAAGTGGAATGGGACTAGACAAAACTGGTTCCCCAAAAAAGGAGCCCCTTTAGAGGGTTAATGTGGCCCTGAGCCCCGTGTGAACACCATAGTGGAACATTTCACTTATGGTAGTGTATTTTTGGCAATAAGAGAATAAAGTCAAACGTTTTAAACTTGTTACCTGGTCAATCGCTGACATTTGGTGAAACAACTTCACAAACCCCCGACGCAGGCGGTATCATCTTAACAGTTAGAACCTGTGGACTGTTGGAAAAAGACCAAACCTGTCAAAGAGCAGTTATCCCACCCCCAATAAGCAGCATTCATACGTAACATTAATCTTAAAGTCAATGCTATACACATATAAAAACTGGTAACAATTGAAAATTTGATCTACAAAATAGTTAAATATCAATAAAATCCGTTTGCAGAATTAAAAACTTTTCAACTTTGCTGCCCTCCAATGGTAGCATCAAGAAAGGCCCTGTGGCAAACCCCCCCCCCCCCCCACCCCGGGGGGACCCCCCCCCTTCGGCT